ACGTGTGGCCTCACAACCATCTTGACTGAGGTCTGGTGCCCTCTTCTGGCCTGCAGACATACACACAGACAGAATATTGTATGCATAATAAATAAATATTTTAAAAAAAATGAATTCATTTTGGAATAAGGTTGCCTATATATATATATATATATATAACAAAAGTAACCTAACATCATTAGTCCTGAAATACAAAACAAATCTGGATTACATTGTGCCAACAAGTAGCTTTCTGCCAGTGAGTAACTGGGTCAGAGCCAAACATTGCAGCAAACCAATCCCAGGATGCCAACTATTACAGCGTGGCCAAGTAGGAGAAAAGTGGAGCTGGCACAACTCAAGTTGTATCCATATGCTCAGCTCCACATGCTTCGCTTCCTGCCCACACTACTGAGAACTTTCTGTGGTTTAAGAGATTATCCACCGTGGATAACCATCTTGGCTCAAACAAATGCTAGTAATTTTGATTTACCTTACTATTAAACAGCCAGAGTACTTAACTGCAAACAGAGACAAGCATGTCAAGACATGCCCCGTCTCCCCAGTGCTCACAGCTAAAATCAATGCCTCCCCAGCCATCAAGACTCTATCCAGCTCAAAGCAGTGTTCATAGATGATGTTGGTTGGTCTTGCTGCTGTTTCTTTCTTTCTTTTTTTTTTTTAAATGTATTACTCAGGTTTAGAGGCTTTTAAATACTTCCCCCAAAGTCCTCCCGATGAGGGTTCCTTTAATTAAGAGCCCCTAGTGGGACTGTAGCCACAGTAAATAGGATGGTTGAGGCAAAACAGCTGGACTAGACTCAGTAAACATAGACCTTGTCCTGACTGTGTCCTGGAGGGTGAGCCTGCCCTCTAGTCTCTGGGAAAGGAAGCACAGGTCCCACTCACCTATAGAGAAGGGCATAAAAGCTTCATTTTTCTTCAGAGCCCCATTGGCATCCAGAAGTGGTCAGGATTGAAGGTGTCTGGTTGTTCAAAGTACCGTGGATCATGGAGAGCTGCACTCAGGATAGGGTACACTTCAGTGTTCTAGAAGACATTGTGAGAGGCAATGATATTAGCATACCCTGGCTCCCATATGCAGTCAATCAATAAAAACTAGGGAAGACACAAACAGGCTGATACTACTGTTAAAGGGAACACAGGGGACTCAAGGCATAGAAGTACAGCGTCGCAGCTGGTCTCACTTTGGGAAGCAGGTACCCTCAGAACAAAGTGTCTTTGATGACCCTGTGTGGTAGACCAATCGGGACAAGATCTGAAAATCTCTGAGTCTCGCGAATGACAGCCTCAGTGTAAGGCATTTTGTTGCGGTCCTCTAGGGTTGGAGGGCGGTGTGAGCCAATCACCTGATCGATCTCCTTTTGGACTTTCTCTGCACAGAAAAGGGAGACAGCAGACAATGACTGCCCCCTTCACGGGGGCAATGCACAGTGATCCTGTTTTCTGTGAGCCAATAGCTTAGGAACAGTGCAGAGCCAGGAGATTCTGCTGAGAAAGACACACTGCACTCTGGAAAATGCACACCTGGGCTTCTCTCAGGCATCTGTCTCTCCAGCCTATCTTAGAGACTTAGAGACTTTCTCCAAAACTCCAACCTTGCTCATAAAAGAGAAAAAAGGAAAACCCACAGCAAATGGGCTCTTTTCATCTATCACTCTGAGGGCTGGAGGGGAAGATGGTAAGAATTCTCCCCATTTGAAATGTAATGAATGAAATAAACTATATTCCTACATAGCACGTGTGTGAGCACGTGCGCGCACACACACACACACAACTTTGCATGAAATTCATATTTAAAAATCCACGGAGCTGGAGAGATGGCTTAATGGGTAAGAGCACTGGCTGTTCTTGTAGAGGATCCAGGCTCAATTTCCACATAGGTATTCACACCCTCTTTGACACAAGTTCAAACCACCTGACACCCTCACACATATGTGCAGACAAAACAACAATGCACATTAGTAGAGATATATTTAAAAATCCAGACTAAGAATCTGAGGCTATAACCTCAGGAATAAAAAAAAATTAATCTACATATAATTGAATATTAAATATTAATACATTGGCGAATACATTGGCCAAGGAAATGGCTCAGCCAGAAAATGCACTTCACTTGCATCCTGACAGCCTGGCTTTGATATCAGAACCCATGGGAATGTGCAGGAGAGACCCCACTGCACAAAGTTGTCCTCCCACCTCCACACATGAACTGCAGCAGACAAACTCACAACAACATCACATCGATTTCAGATTCTTAGAATGTGAGTGTGTAAGTCAGCCAAGCAGTGGATGAGTCGGTTAATAAAGGAAAGATTGCTGGGTGAGTGAAATGAACAAAGCAAAACTGGATGTCCATATTCCACTTCTCACTCACTGTATTAACCAATTAATGAGTTAATAAATGGTTCATAGACAAATAAATCAATGAGTACAACTAACCAAGCATCAAGCAAATATGTGGATGAATAAATGAGAGCAAATATAGGAATAAACAGGTGGGTTGTTGCATGATGAATAAGTCACAGATAAATGAGTGAGTTATTAAATGGATACATGTAGGAATGGATGGACACATGAAGGGGGAATTCAAATGTCAGTTAGTAGGATTAAGGAATGACCAATGAATCAATGATAGATAGCCCACTCTACTAGATCTGATAAAAGAATAAAATTCACAGGCTGATTCATCCAAATAAATGATTGAAATATGTGCCCTTAGGTGAAGCAGAGACGAAAGAATCAAGGATCAATAATCTCTGGATATAGAGAAGATGGGCAGAGGAATACATGAGTGGGTGAATAGTTGTGTAGAGAGTTGGATAAATGGTTATATGGATAACAGATGGATGGGAAAATGAATAAAATGGGTAAATGGAAAAAGAGATGGATCAAGAAGAAGACAAGTGAATAGAGGGATGTAAAATCAGAAGGAAAAAAGGAGGTGAAGATGGATGGATGGTTGGATGGATGGATGGATAGATGGTTGGATGGATGAATGGATGGATGGATGGATGGATGGATGGATGGACACACAGAAGGATGAGTGGATCAACCATTAATTGATAGGTGGAAACAATGGAAAACAGGCCAGCTGAGTGTTCATCCATGCACCACCCACAGCACAGCCCTAGTTTAGAATTAGGCCAAAGCCTTCAGTGCTCCAGATATATGAGGCCCATGGCTCTCTCATCCACACAAACTTCCCAGCCAATAGGGAACTAGAAGATTCCCCAACTGGCCATCTGTGGTTCACCTGCAACATGGGGGTATTTGAGCATGAGCAGGAAGCCATAGCGGAGTGTGGCGCTGCTGGTCTCGGTGCCAGCAAAGAAGAGAGACAGCACGGAGATCATGAGGTTCTGGTGATGGAACTCCGTGTGTTGGTTGGACTTCTCCTGGTTCCAGATGGGAGAGAGAAGGGAGGGTCAGGGTGCCTGGAGCCTTGCAGGGAGATGAACCCACATCTTGGGAACTGTCCTTCTGTCTCACATTAATGGACCACATGGCATTTCCCAGTTCTTGACAATATCACTTGATCTGTTTGTTCAGTCTTCTCTCTTTACTTTGCTCTCTGGTAGTTTATCATGGTTTGTCTTCGAGATTTTTTATTAGAACCTCTGTGGTCTTTCCTGCTTTTTATCCTTTGAACTGTGTTTCTTCCCAAGCCTTCTTTCTCCCTATTTCATATTCTCCCCCCACCCTTTCTCTATTCTTCTTGCTAGATGCTTCTGCATCTCCTCCACTCCATTTCCTGTTTCTCCTCCCCATCCTCTGCCCCCTTTTCCTCAACTCACATCCCTAGTCTCACTCTTACCCATCCCCTCTCATTCATGCAGGACATACTTTCTTCATGCGTATAAGGTAGGTATCGATGAAATCTCTTGGATTGTTGGGGTCCAAGGTTGCCTGGTGCTTCTCCACACTGTAGCAGATATAGTCGAGGACTTCCTGCAGGTTTTTTCAGATATGTCTGTGGGTACCAGGAAAGAACTTCAAGAAGCCAAAGAAGAGCTCAAATACCTGCAACAAAGAAGGGCGTGGAGGTCATCTGGAGCTATCAGGTCTCAGGAAGTGGACAGTGTTCCTAGGTCCACAGATAACATGAAGAAGCAAACACACATACTCCCACCTCATTTATGTACACCATATACATGCATGCCTTGAACGGTATCTTCAAATCTGTCTCTAACCTTCATTTTACATTCTCTGTATCTCCCTTTTCCTTTTCTCTGCTCTCTCTCTCCCTTTCTGTTTTGTCTTTATTTTTTTAATTTATGGGGTATTGTATTCTGACACACTTATGCCAAACTTACTTATTATTTAAACTCAATATGTAGCCAAGGATCATGCCAAATTTCTGATAGCACAGCACGCACTTTCAAAATGTTGGAATCTCATATGTTGTACACCATCATTCCCTAGAGATAAACATAGGTGCTCATGCATGAAATAGGATGTCCTCTATCCTCTAAGGTACAGCTGATTCACTGAAACCATGATTTTCTCTTGTCTGGATGACTATGTATTTCTATATTCAGGTTTCCGCCCTCCTCAACATCTCTCCCTTCCTCCCTCCATTCATGCCTAAGGATCTTTCCTTTACACGCTGTCTTTGCCTTTCTTCCAGCCCTAAGACACAGCCTTCTTCCCCCCACAGATCAGCTTTTTTCCCCTCTGCCTTGGATGCTCCTCTCTTCCCACCCACACTGACCTGGCTGGAGAATGAGCTGATGAGTGAGAAGGTCTGATAGAACAGGTCCAGCAGACGCAGGAACTGGCGATCTTTGTAGTCAAAGCGCTCTCCAAAGACGATGAAGCAGATTATGTTGGCTGTGATGCACTGGAAGAGGAAGGTGGGGTCCAGGGAAGCTCCTGGAGGGTGAGGATGCAGGACAAGAGACAGGAGACACAGTACTAGGGGAATATTCTACTTCAGCCCCATCTCTGTAAAGTTGTCCCTACCACTCAAGGAACAGCAACAGCTGCCACCACATTTGACATAATGATGCGCATATGAGTCTGGGTCCTTCACTCAGAGATGCATGCGTGCTTTTATTTAAATCCCCTCAGTACTGTACAGATTATGGGGTGATATTCATATGCACAAAAGAGGCACCTTCACCAAGGAAACTCAGTGACTCATGGCTGGGACTAGGATGCTGGGACTGAGAGGTGGAGTGTATGTAGTCAGTCTCTACCTGCTCCTCCTCCCAGGACAACATCCTGACTCTGAACTGATAGCCAACTCTCCCAGCCAGGAATGGTGTAGAGAAGGGTTCAGAGATGGTTGTGTGAAATAACAATCTCTGAACTCTCCACTCATATCAGCCAGTCCTCCTCCATACCTTCTCTGACTTCTGCGCTCTGTGGTGTTCCAGAAGCCATAAGCACCTGCTGCCTGCTACCTTTGTGTGCCAGGTTCACTCATGGACCCTGGTGCTTGGAGGGCTGTTGTCAGTCCAGCGGTATTGGGCCACTTTTGACATTCACTCTGGGGCTGGCTTGTCTGTGGTCTCTGATCCTGTGTGGATCCTTCCCTGGGGCTCAAGGGCTTCACTCTCAGCCTTGGGACTCACTTCTCTTCCTCTGGGTCCTCCCATCTCTCACTTCTTTTTCTAGTTCATTCTTCTCAGCCTCTGTAACTTTGTTCCCTCCCCCTCCACACTGACCTCTCAGATCTCCAGAAAAAGGTCAATAAGAGATGAAAATACCCCGTGTAAAGAAGTGGAGGTGCAAACAATGGTCTTGTCACCAATGTGCCCTTCATATAACAAACCTTAAAGTGCCCAGAGTTCCTCTGAGTTCTACCAAAGTCAAACTCCAATGAGCCTGTGTACACTCTGCTCACCAGCACATTCACAAGGAAGAAAATAGAGTTCCCTACTTAGACCAAGCCTGCAGGTCCTCCTGCTCCCTTCACTTTCAATGACCTAGAGTCCGCATTTATCTTTGACTAAGATTACCAGTTCTCAACCTGTGGGAATCAAATGACATAGGGGTCTCATAAGACCATCAGAAAACACAAATATTTATATTACAATTCATAACAGTAGCAAAACTACAGTTATGAAGTAGCAATGAAAATAATTTTATGGTTGGGGTTCACCACATCATGAGGAACTATATTAAAGGGTCACAGCATTATGAAGACTACAAACAGTTGAATTAAGATCATTGGGATAGTGGTGTGACAAAGGTTAAGCCAACATAGCCTTGAACTCTGTATGCAATAGAAGATGACCTTGAAAATCTCACCATCTTGGCTCTACCTCCTGAGTGCTGGGATTGCAAACATGTATGACATACCCACTGCATATGATGCTGAAATACTCTACAACTTACCTATACCTGCACACACACATACACACACACACACACACGATTTTGAGACAGGACCTCACAATGCGACAGGACCGTCTTTGAATTGATGACTACGTTTTCTTGCCTTCTGAGTTCTGAGGGGACCAGTGTAAACCACCATACCAAGTGACACAGAAAATTAATCCATGGATTGATTTTTCTAAACAAAAGTGACCACTGTGGCCAATCTATGTCTCTGAGTTTATTTATGCACAATATGAAACTCACATTTATTTTTCTATCTCTGTATTTCTCTATCCACACTTTATCCATAGCTACTATTCAAACACACACACACACACACACACACACACACACACACACATCTCTCTTCA